ACACCAGACAATCTATCTTTTTGTATTGAAGCAGTACTTTATAGGCTGCCCAAGTTTCTTTAAGGGAATACTTAAATTAGTTGCGATAATTTGTTGGTGGATGGATGTATGCACACATACACATTTATGTAACTATGTGTTCAACTCTTTAGAATGTTGTAAGGTGAGTAGTTTATAATCTGTCTTTGAGTCTAATTGCTTAAAATGGACAGTTTTTGTCTTTATATCACCCCCAAGATAGCCATTGAGATGTTAAGTAATTATTTTACTTCATACATAGCAGAGAGTCAGGATAGGTTTGTAGAGGAAATAAATAAATAGCAGCCTGTTTCTTTTCAGGAACTGTTCCTAAGTGTCTATGTAGTAATTTATAAATAAACCTGAATCTTTGAAACAGTAAAGATGTTCTCTAAAGATAATCTTTTAAAACCTCTTACATAATAAAAACTTTTTAAAAGACTTCATTTCTTCTGCAGTACAGCAACTATACTCCAATAAAAATTAATTTAAAAAGCGGCTCATTTTTTCTTTATTTCTGAAGCTACCACCTCTGTACACATCTTGAGTCTCTCTTTCTTCCCCTCTCCCCCTCACACAGCCTGCACAGTTTAAAATCTCAATATTAATTGGAGCTGAGATGATTGTACTGCTGCTGCTAAGACTTCAGCAGGTCTCTTACAAGCTAATGTCACGGCATGGGGTCCATTTGCTCTATGTAGCTATTCTGTGGTGCAGTGAGAATGCCTTGATTAATATGCTGCATGAAAATAAAATGGATTTAGAAAAAAATTATACTATACTCTCATAAATATTAATTCACATTTGTATGGAATTGCACATAATTTTCAATATACTTTGGAGCACCTTCAGTATGAAGAAAGATTTCGTTTCCAAAGAGAGTGGCATAATTTTTTCAAAAAAAAAGCACAGCTGATACATTATTAAATATCATTTGTTTATTAATCCGGTACTCCACATCCATATGATGTAGGGCAGTAGGTGGACTGTGTGACAGAGAAAGGCACTTTTCTCCAGGCTGTTGGAGCTTATGTATTACCTTTAGAAGTGGTGCAATTTAATCATATTATATAGAAGCAGTTCATGGTGGGACTTACCTGCCTGCTTCTGCTAGTGTTGCCATTATTCCTGAGTGTTTTTTTATGAGAGCCGACTAAATTGGTTACATGAGTGCTAAGTTGCTTCAGTCGTGTCCTACTCTTTGTGACCCCATGGACTGTTTAGTCTGCCAGGCTCCTCTGTCCATGGGATTTTCCAGGCAGGAATACTGGAGTGGGTTGTCATTTCCTTCTCCAGGGGATCTTCCCAACTCAGGGATCAAACCAGTGTCTCTAATGTCTCCTGCATTGGCAGGCAGTTTCCTTAACCACTAGTGCCACCTGGGAAAGCCCCAAATTGGTTAAATGTGAGGCCAAATACTGAGCAGATGTCTGACATAGCTGGTTTTGGTAGTAGACCCTGGACACCATAGCAGACATTTATTGAATATTTGCCATGTGTTAGTCATTGTGTGCAAAGCTTTGAGACTGGAATCAATGGCTTTGTGCACTTACTTCGATCTCAGCTTGTCCCCTAAACACTTCCTCACCTCATTCTCATTGTCTTGCGAGAGCTGCCTCTCCAGTGGCAGAGGGTAAACCATCTGCAGTGATAGCAGCTGGAAGTGAAGCCAGAAACCACTCATTTGCCTTAGAAGATTGTTGTCTGATATTTTTTTAAGAAATTTTATTTTTGGCTATGCTGAGTCTTTGTCACTTTGCATGGGCTTTCTCTGGTTGCGGCAAGCAGGGGCTTACTCATCCTTGCAATGTGCGGGCTTCTTGTTGCAGGACTTTCCTTGTTGCAGAACAGAGGCCCTTGGTGTGTGAGCTTTAGTAGTTTTGGCCCACAGGCCTGGTTGCTCTGCCTCAGGTGGAATCTTCCTGAACCAGGGATCTAACACCTGTCTCCTGTATTGGCAGATGGATTCTTATCCACCGTGTCACCAGGGAAGTCCCAATGTTTGATATCATCTTGCCCCAAAGATCAGGCCCTTCCCCTTCTCTGGGACTTTCTGCTGTTTTCTGTGATCCTCCTTGTGTACCACCAGTGCCTGCTTATCCGGATTCCTTGGTTTCCTGTTCCTATCAGCATTCCTAGCTTGCTTCACTCACTCATGTCAGAGGCAGCTTGTAAAGATAGTATTTAAATTACTCTTGTAGTTTATATATTTGGATACATTAGCTAGTGGTCTTGCTTATTTAGCGAGCATTAATTTGACCATCTGTTATTTGCCGGGTTCTGTAAGTGAAGCACTGGGCTTAGTACCTGACCTCATTCTTTCAGAGAATCATGCTACTAGCTGCCTCAGGGCCTTTGCACAAGCTGTTCTCTGTGCCCAGACTTTCAGATCTAGGTCAAGTGGCAGTCATCTCAGCTACAGCACCTCTCATCCAGACAGACCACTTCCCCCTATTGTAGCATCTGTGATCTTTCTTCTAAAAGAGCTCAGTTTGGGAAAAAAAAAAAAGCTCAGTTTGCAGTTACATGTTTGTGTGATTTGATTGGGGACTTGATTGTTTGTTCCCTAATTTCTAAATTCCATGAGGTTGGGGTCTTCTTGCCCCACACAGTTGTTCTCTCAATGCCTGTAGGGTAGTTCTGAGTTTGTACTTGGCATATAAAGGGTGCACAAAAAATATTTGTTGAATGAGTGGAGCCCTGAGAACATTGCTTTGCATCACCAAATGTTTTCCTTTAATTGGCAACATTGGGAGGAGGGGGTGTCCTTCAACTGGATAAGGGAGGAATATGGAAGAGTGGGCTTTTGAGGTCTAGGCAAAGCAGATGTAAAAGTCCAGGGTCCCCAAATATGGCCATGGCTAAACTGGGGAAGACTTCAGGGAGCACTGTGTGTGTCAGGTCGGGAGTGCGGAGATATTGGGAAGATGAAGAAGAGATAACTGCCCCCAAGAATGTAGGCTGTGAAGGAAAGAGGGAGAGGTATTTTGAGAATGAGAAAGGGATGAAGGGGAATTCTTTTTTGGTCTTATTGTATTTTTAAATGTATGTTCAGGATCATAGAAACTGAGAAATTGTGTGCAGATGAGGCTCCAGGAAGGAACATTTTCAGTGTAAGGAGGAACACATCCGTCTGTGCGTGCTTAGTCATTTAGTCGTCTCCGACTCTTAGCAACTCCGTGGACTGTAGCCCACCAGGTCCTCTGTCCATGGAATTTCCTAGGCAAGAACACTGGAGTGGGTTGCCATTTCCTCTTCTAGGGGATCTTCCTGACCCAAGGATAGAACCCGAGTCTTCTGTGTCCTGTATTGGCAGGCAAATTCTTTACCACTGAGCCACCTGGGAAGCCCCAGGAATATGTTCACTCATAAACAAATGATTGAATACCAAATCATTTTAATTTTATTGCTTAATGTGTATATTTCTCAGGGTTCTAAAGGGCTTTGACAGGTGTCAGTCTGATAGTATCTGAGCCCATTTTCCCCACGGGCTCAGAGCTGCAGGGAGTTACTCTGAGTTTCATAGTGAATAATATCAGAGTCAGAAGCCAGGTCTTCAGCACCTCAGGATGCCCTGACCTGCCTGCAGGCACAGAGCTCACCCATGTCCTGTGACCTGGAGCACTTGTCTGTAGTTCCTACAGGTGCTGTCCCCTAGTCTAGAAAATCCATTACCCTTTTCCTACCTTCTTCCCCCCCCCCTCCCCCACCACAGCCAGTAACAAATGACAAGTTACTATTGATCTTGGTGATGATATGGTTGTTACATGTTTTGCAAAGGACATGGGAATTAAGGAACTCAGGGTAAGAGGAACTTGGGGTAAAAATATAATGCATTAAGGAAATATTTTTATCTTACAAATGGAGTTTCTTTCTCTCTGGCTCACCTCTACCTGGCCCTCCTGGTATGTTCAGTCTTGTGCTGATATTTTTGCATCCTGCATGCACTTAGTACTCCTTTTCTGAAACATAGTTGGTATACCATTTTGGGAAGCTAGTGTATTAAGCCTACTAGGGGAATAGTGTGTGCTGGACCCAGAGCAGAATCAAATGGAAAGCTGTTCTCCCTGGCAGCAGTGAAACCACTTCTTTTTTTTTTTTTTATTTTTTTTATTTTTTTAAACTGTTTACAATATGTTTATTTATTTTTTTTTCCATTGTTGAAAATAGTTCATTTTTTTTTTTTTTTTACATGTATTCCCCATCCCGGTCCCCCCTCCCACCTCCCTCTCCACCCAATCCCTCTGGGTCTTCCCAGTGCACCAGGCCCGAGCACTTGTCTCATGCACCCAACCTGGGCTGGTGAACTGTTTCACCCTAGATAATATACGTGTTTCAATGCTGTTCTCTTGAAACATCCCACCCTCGCCTTCTCCCAGAGTCCACAAGTCTGTTCTATACATAGGAGTCTCTTTTTCTGTTTTGCACATAGGGTTATCGTTACCATCTTTCTAAATTCCATATATATGTGTTAGTATACTGTAATGGTCTTTATCTTTCTGGCTTACTTCGCTCTGTATAATGGGCTCCAGTTTCATCCATCTCATTAGAACTGATTCAAATGAATTCTTTTTAATGGCTGAGTAATATTCCATGGTGTATATGTACCACAGCTTCCTCATCCATTCATCTGCTGATGGGCATCTAGGTTGCTTCCATGTCCTGGCTATTATAAACAGTGCTGCGATGAACATTGGGGTACACGTGTCTCTTTCAGATCTGTAAACCACTTCTGATGAACAGCTACTTTGTGCTTTGTTGAGTTCCCCACCCCCATCCCCCCCAACAAGATTAGGAAGGATACATGTGTGGCATTAGGGAGTCAGAAAAATTGACCTTAGTTTCAGGTAGTCTCATACCCTACTTTCTTGCCTTTACCTGGCTGCCTTCTAGTAACCCCATTTAGCCTCTATTTTGGGTGTGATGCTAGCTACCTATGTAACCACCACTTCCCTTTCCTTCTCTCTCTCTTTTTCCTACAGAAAGATGTAGCACTTAAGCCTCAGGAACGCGTGGAGAAACGCCAGACGCCTCTGACCAAGAAGAAACGAGAAGCACTTACCAACGGCCTGTCCTTTCACTCCAAGAAGAGCCGACTCAGCCACCCGCACCACTACAGCTCAGACCGAGAGAATGACCGCAACCTCTGCCAGCACCTCGGGAAGAGAAAGAAGATGCCGAAGGGGCTCAGACAGGTGAGGATGCGCAGGGCTTGTTCCATCCTGTGGCTGCTCTTCCTCAGGTGCCTGCTTGTCTGTGATCCTTCCCGACAGGTGGAGAGGAGATCCCTGGTGGGTGCTGGGGGGCTGCCCTGCAGAGCCGTGTGTGTGCTTCTAAAAGAACATCCCCAAACCAAGCACTTTGAAACTTAGCATGGTACCCTTTCAGTTACATGTGTGCTCCGTGTAACAAGACAGGTGTTCGTGCTATTGGCATTGAGGGCAAACTGATGGAGGTCTTGGTGATGGTCCGTGTGGATTGGCTTGCAGGGAGAGATCACCTGGGGTAGGGGAAAGGAAATGGGCACAGCTGATCACATGCACTGTGTGTATCAAGGTCCTGAAGTGCTAAAAATGGTTGTCTGTATTCAGGCAGGGGACCCTGCCTAAGATTTGTATTTTCTAGGAAAGCTCAAATACTGTGGCGTGTGGGAGAGCAGTGGTGAAGAAATGAGTTTTTTTAGGTGTCCTCCACAGCCCGTAATTCAGAACTGCCTTTGTGATATGCCGCTTGTATGAAAGCCTGATGGTAGAGCTTACTGGGCTGTTTAATAATTAGGTTTCAATGATCCACAAGAAAATCTAGCTCTTGGCATTTGGGGATCCCTTCTGCCTGTGGAAATCCCCAGATGAGATAGATTAATAATGAGAAGCGAAGCTGTTTATAGCAGTGTTTTCAGCACAAATCCAGAGGCTTTAGCACCTGCTGAGTTACCTGTGTCCCGGGTGTGTTTTGTTTGTTTTTGGAGGGACCACGGGGTGAGACTGACTGTCTCTTGAAGGAAGCAGAGGAAAGGAGTGTGGTTCAGAGAGCAGGTGCTGCTAATTAGAAGCTGAACAGGTAATTTCTAGTTTGCAGATGTTTCTCTGCAGAGCAAGAAGATCTGGGATCATACAAAACAGTGGTTCTGAAACCTCACAGATGATTAGAATCATATCATGAGCCTTATTAAACATATTCCTGGCTTCACCCTAGAACCTGATGAATCAGAATTACTAGGCATTTTGGCACAGAAGTTTGTAGTCTTAGAAATTTCCTATTTGATAATGGTCAAGCCAGTTTGAAAATCATTCTTATAAAGAATCAAGAACATTTTTCTGGTGATGAATTTTAGTCTAAAGTTTGGAAAAATGAAACTCTAAAAAGATTTAGTGGGCAGTTTGGTGTCAGAGTTGAACTTGATGGGTAAATGTCTGAGAAAATACATGGAGCGATGGATTTAAGCATGGACTCAGGAGCATCTCAGGAAAGTGTTCTGGATTCTAACACATTTGGCAGTTTTTCTTTGTCCTCAAATAAAATGCCAGATTGGAGTTATAAAAGTAATTACTAACATTTGTCTAATACATAGCACAGTAATCACTCAGTGAAGGAGTTTCTGTAGTATGATCTATAATTTTCACAACAACCCTGGTGAGGAGATGATATGATATTATGGTTACTTTACAGATAGGAAAACTTGGGCTTACAGAAATAAAGTGACTTGTCTGAGGCCACGTGACTGTGAGGGACAGAGCCAGGTTTAGACTAGATTCCTCTGGCCTGCTCTGTGCTTCCTGTGGTTGATATAAGGACTCCAGGTCGTGGGGCACAGGGAATCTACAAGTATTTTTAGAAAGTTCATGGGCTGGTTTGGTCAGAGGGAAGGATTGTGGTTATAGAAATGGCCTGTGAAAGCTCAAGAAGAAAATAGGATAAACTCACAAGTACAGTGAGCATAGAAAAAGAACTTGGAAAGTCAAAGGCAACCACATTTGGATGAAGATTAGAAAAAAAATTTTTTTCTTTTTTTTGGTCAGAAAGTGGGGTGAGGTCTAGGTTCTGTAAAAAGATAATGTGCCTGTGGTATTTGTTACTTGCAAACCAAGCCTCTCCCTGTGAGCTATGTGGGAAAAGTGGTTTTTCCAATGTCCAGAGATTGCCCTGTGACCACTGCCTCTCCTGGAGGTCCTCCCTCCCACCGGGTGGGAGGAGGGGCTTCCTACCCTTTCAGGCAAGAAATCAGTTTAATTCTGAGCCTCCACAGAGCTGTGGTTCCTTATTCTTGACTCTCTTGCTCCCAAGCTTGATCTGACTTTTCTGTTCTTCTCCGAAATTCTTCTTTGTCCTCTAGTTGAAAGAGTCTGTGATCTTACAAGGAGGCTAGGGCTCGTCTGTCTCAGATGCGAGTAGCTTTTTGGTCTTAATGATCGATCTTCTGGTACTAATGGTATTTGAAATCAAAGCTATCCTTGTTTCAGGGAAAATATTTGAAAAGCAATTAGTCTGAATCACGGAGAAGAAAAGAATGAATTGTATTTTTGGCCCGTGTAAGAGTTTTAAAAACAAGTGGTGTTTTCTTATCTTCAGTGTTGATGCCAAAGTATACTATCCAATTTAAATTGTTTTTTTTTTTTTAGTAGGAAGGCAAACAAAGTTGATAATTGAGGTAAAACTGTAATGCTTTTATTTATAATATTCCTAGCATCATATGTGCTATTATGAAGCCCTGAGCAAAGCATTGTTGCTGCCCATCTGTAAAATGAGAGTTTTAGACTAGAAGGTTTCTCAGTCCCATGATTAAGTTTTTGAATAACACAAAGATACTGAATATATAGTGTTGCTGAAATCTCTAATGGAAGATCATCATAGGCCTGAAAGTAACTTAATTTTGAGGTCTGTAACTGGTTGGCCCTGTGAAAACACTAAGGGAAGAGAATGAGATGCATTCCTGGTTATATCAGCCCAGGTGAGGGCTGTCCATTGTATGACCCTTGGTAAAAGGTGACACACACATGTGTTTAATGTTACAAGAGATGTTCCACAGCTTGTGCTAAGAGTGTCTGAGACTGCTTTCCTACCATGCCAGATGTCTGTACACATCACAGTTAATTCCACCACTCCATCCATCCCACCCCACCCCACCTTTGCATCTTATTAGATAAAGTAGCTGAATCTTAACTGTTTTAGCTACGAGGGGACCTTGAGATGAAAATGGGCCTTGAGGAGAATTTCTAAAGTAATAGATTGTTGATCAGTGCCTCTCATTGAGGGAGTGATAAAATTGCAAGAGCCACAAATGAAAGAGGGCAGCAAGAGGTGAGAATTTATTCTTTATTTTTGACTTGGCAACAGTGGGTTAGATTTGAATCTTATTAGGAATTGGTACTCCCTAAGCAAGGAACTTAATGTGGAGCTTTCCGTAACTGTGGGACAATGTTACTCCTCAGTGCAGAGAAAATAAAAGGTGTTTGTTTGTTTTCTGAAACTTCATTGAAGGCAACTAATCTTTTTACTGTGAGAATGCAACTGCATACTTTTTTTTAAGAGAGATGTGTAGTTCTGAAACTAGCCCCCCTTTTCCACCTCTTGCCTGATTATAAAACCTCACTTCTCATGAAATTTTTCCATACTGTTAAAGTGTTTTTAACTAGCACTTAGCTACCCCAGTGGAACTTACCTGTTGGGTTATGTTTTTAAATATAAATACATACTGACTTAGAAGATACTGAACTAGTAGCTGTCTTATAAAAGGGTTCCACTTTCTTATATGGCAAATTTGAAAACTTTACTTTAATAAAGGGTTTAAAAAAATGAAGGAAGGGACAAGTTAACTGTTATACAGAAGAGTGCATGTCTTTCTCATCTCCCTGTGCTTATGTTTGTCCTGTGCAGAATTATTTGCTCACGATGTGAGTACTCAGACATTATATTACAAAGTTTTGGCTCTTACTAATAAGGGTATGGTAGGTTCCCCCCTTCCCCAATTTGACTTAGGAGTAGGAAAATCAAAACAGAGGTTGATAGGTCCTCTGCGTAAGAATCTTTACTCTCTTAATTGGGAAACTACCAAAGAACACAATGAAATCATGGGCTGCCAAACTTTCCAACCAAGTCTTAACTTCTGCAGAAGCTAATCTTCGGGAAAACTTAACTCCTTTAAGGGCTCTGAGTTTAGTTTTCTTTCAGTATGTCTTACTTCCACACCACAGGGGGTGCTTTAAAATTTTAATACTTTGTCATTGAAAACACTGAGAGCCAAGGGGTTTTAAAAATAGAGAAGTGATAGGGAAAAGTTGATAAGGGTTCAGAGAACTCTCAGATTTGGCTCCAAGTGAATATTTCTAAATCTCCATTTAGTCCATTAATCTGTCCTCTCTTTCTCTAGTATGAACTGAATCAGAGGATATAGGCCTAAATGAACTAGGAGGAATTTTTAGGTTATATGAACTTTTCTAACAAACAGACACCAGGATGGATCATCAAAATAAATACCAGAGTCTCCCTCCTAATTGAATTTTAAGTCCCCAAAAGCCATTCATCTAAGGACAGAATTTCCCAGAGAGAAGCAACCTATTGAGATTGCTTCTAGCAGTAGGTGAACACTTTGGGAGAAACATAAAGAGATTTGGGACTATTTCAGGAGCCCAGCAGTTAGACTCTAACCTTGCTGGTGAGAATGGCTCGTGTGAGAATGTTTTTCATGGTCTAAATATCTTTATACAGGTTGATCTGGATAGGTTTGGCTTGTAAGGAATGAAAATTTTCTCCTTTCTTTGAAAATCTGTTACGGTGGAGTCAAACTTGGTAGAGAATTAATAGCTGACACTGTAGATACCAGTGTAGATGTATACTGATTTCTAGGAAGAGAAAGGATTGATCCCAGTGCCAGGTCTTTAGAATTAGAGCTTCACATGTCTGTGTCTGCTTTGTGAATTGGCATTGCATGTTCGCCTTATTTGGAGTACGTGTTTGTGTTGGTCAAGGGCCCGGGAGATTCATGCCACCAGCTGAGCTTGTACCCACCTGATGAAGCAGTAGGTCTTGCTACACTGTTCACCTTTGAGAGCATTTACTACCGCAGGTGGATCCTTTATCTCAGCAAACTCAGATTGTTGGAAGACTCCTCGGTGACATGACATTTGTTACTAGCAGAAATTCACTTGCAAAGGAGGATTTATAATGGAAAACTTTGATTAAACAGATCCAGTTCAAG